TTTATTAGTCTTTTCATGGAACCAACTTTTGGCTTTTGACTCTCCCCACTGCATATTTTTTGTTGTTGTTGTTTGTTTGTTTTTAAAGATTTTATTGGGGAATTGGGGGAGGGAACAGCGTTGGGGAATCGAAGAAGGGGAACAGACAAGTTGCTGTCCTTTTGTTCTTCAGTCTAGTTGTGGAGGACGTCACTTCACTGGCCCGTGTTGGTATTATCATTGTACTCCTCCTGGCTGAGGCAGTCGCTCACCGGCCATTGGACAGCCGCTCACAGCAGCTCACAGCAGCTCTCACTGGCTGCCAGCCACTCACAGAAGCTCACCACAGCCCGCCCACTGCAGCCCCACTGCAGCCTACACGGTCGCCGTCGGGGACTCCCGGCAGCCCAGCTCCAGGTCCAGCTGTTGTTCACCATCTTAGCTGTAGAGGGTGCAGTGTCACTGGCCCTCATGTGGGACCCTGCTGCTCAGAGCCAAGCCATCCCAAGCCAACTCCTAACCAATGCACCACTTGGCCGACCCGCATATTAGTTTTGTGTTTCATTAATTTCTGTTCTTTATTTTTCTTCTACTTTCTTTGCCTTTAGTTTCCTGCTATTAATAGTTTTACAACTTCTTAAGATGGATGTTTGAGTGTTTGATTTTTAGCCTCTCTTTTAGTATGAATAATGCTGCTATGAATATTTCAAGCTTTTCTGTAAACGTATGTATTTTGGGTATATATCTAGGCGTGGAATTGCTGAGTCATATGGTAACTTTATGTTTAATTTTTTGCCAAACTACTTTTCAAAGTGACTGTTCCATCTCACGTTCCCCTCAGCAATGTAGGAGGGTTTCAATTTCTCCACATCTGTATCAACACTTGTTTTTTTCCCAGCTTTATCGAATTATAATTGACAAATAAAAATTTTACATATTTAAGAGGTACAACATGTTTTAATACACATATACATTGTGAAATTATTACCACAAACAAGCTAATTAACATCCATCACTTCACATAGTTACCTTTTTGTTTGTGTTGCTGAGAACTATTAGCAATCTTAGCAAATTTCAAGTATACAATACACTATTATTAACTGTAGTCACCATGCTGTACATTAGGTCTTTAGAATTTATTCATCCTGCATAATTGAAACTTTGCACCCTTTGACCAATATCTATTTCCCCCAACCCCCAGCCCCTGGCACCTTCCATTCAGCTGTCTGCTTTTATGCGTTTGACTTTTTTAGATTGCACGTAAAATAATATCATGCAGTATTCGTCTTTCTGTGTCATATTGCACTTAGCATAACATCCTCTAGGTTCATCCATGTTGTTGAAAATGATGATTTCTTTCTTTTTTAAAAGCTGAATAAAATTTCATTATATATTAAATATACCCCATTTTCTTTATCCATTCATCCATCAACAGACAGGTTGTTTCTATATCTTGGCTACTGTGAATAATATCAATAAACACAGGAGAACAGATAACTCTTTGAGAAACTGATTTCATTTCCTTTGGATATATACCCAAAAGTGGGATTACTAGATCATACGGTAGTTCTATTTTAATTTTTTTGAGGAAACGCCATATTGTTGTCCATAATGCCTCTACCAATTTACATTCCCATTAACAGTGTACAAGAGTTCCCTTTTCTCCATATCCTTGCTAACACTTGTTATTTTTTGTCGTTTTGATAGTAGGCTGTTCTCACAGGTGTCAGGTGATATCTCATTGTAGTTTTGATTTGTGTTTCCCTGGTGATTAGTGATATTCAGCACCTTTTAATATTCCCGTGGGCCATTTGTATGTCTTTTTTGGAGAAATGTCTATTCAAATCTTCTGTCCAATTTTTAATTAGGTCTATTTTTTATCATGTATATTAATCACAATTATCTAAAACCAGTGTCTAATATATCCAATATCTGGATCTTCTGTGTCTTACAACTGTTGTTTTTTCTCTTAGTTATTGGTTATTTGGTTTTGTTTTCTGATATACTGGATAATTTTAGATTTGATATTGAGTATGAAAACATCTAGAGGTAATTTGAAGTTCTGAGTGGTGTTATTTTCCTCCAGAGAGAATTAATATTTTTTCCTCTGCAGGCAGTTAGGGTGGAATCAGGTCATGTCGGTCTGATCAGAGACTGAAATTACTTGAATCTGGACTTCATTCTTTGTGAGGAATGGCCTTTTTCCAGTTAGTTCATATTTCAAGGGTCAGGGATCCTAACTGAAAGCTGGATTTTTTCCAAGATCTCTCCTTCTCGCCAGGTCTGAACTCCAGTTTTTGCCCATGTGCCCTGTGAGACTGACAAAAGCTCTGCTCTGATTCTCAACTTTTAAGCCACCACTTTCAGTTCAGCGTCAGTGCTGTTTGGTGTCTCTGCTCCGAAACAAACGATAGCTTTATCTGAAAAGCAGCATCCAAATGTCAGGCTTACCTTTCTGTTCTCTCTAGGATGTTGGTCTGCAGGTCCAACTTGATGCCTTGATAGCTCTCCATTGACTTCAGGAACTTTTCTTTAAAGACCTATATTTTATCTACCTTTTCTAGTTGTTCTCAGCAGAAGACTGACCTGACACAAGCTAATTCACCATCACCTGAATTAGAAGTCTCAAATATATTCCTTTTTTATATCTTGTCCAGGTTTTGTTAGTCCTTCTCAGTGCAGGAGTTGGTTCATAGTCCATCCTTGCTAGAAGAACACTCATGCATTTTAACTTAAGACATTTATGTTTGTCTTTCTTACTGATGCTTTGACATAGGGCCTGTCCTTTCCTTGGAGGAAGGGTCTACTGACTAGGGCGCACCTGGTCTTACATAAACCACACACATAATGTAGTCGTTAGAGGGTCTAGTTTCCATTTACATAAGTGGAGACATAATTTACATATAGTCCTGAAGCAACCTGATTGCAGATTTTTATTTTTTATTTATTTATTTATTTTTTAAAGATTTTTATTGAGGAATTGGGGGATGGGAACAGCGCTGGGGAATTGGGGGAAGGGGAACAGACAAGTTGCTGTCGTTTTGTTCTTCAGTCTAGTTGTGGAGTACGTTGCTTCACTGGCCCAAGTTGGCACCATCATTGCGCTCTTCCCGGGCGAGGCACATCAGTCGCCGGCTTCTGGACGGCCGCTCACGGCGGCTGCTAGCCGCTCACGCTGGCTGCTGACTACACACGGTAGCCCATGGCAACCCACTGCAGCAGGGGCTGCAGCTTATGCGATTACCAGCGATTCACGGCAGCCCAGCTCCAGATTGAGCTGTTGTTCAGCATCTTAGCTGTAGAGGGCAGTGTTACTGGCCCTCATATGTGGAATCCGAACTGGGGCCCTCTGGCGTCCCAAGCCAGCTCTTAACCAAGGCACCACTCGGCCAGCCCTTCAGATTCTTTTTAAATTTTCATTATTTCCCACCCTAATTGTTTATAAGTATCTCACCCATTCTTAATTTGACAACTCTTATTTTTCGCAATTCATTTTGATTTAATTTTTCTAAAGCATTCAACATGGCTTTCATAGAAATAACAACGGTCTTTCTTTTTGTATGCATTTCATCATTAAGTGACATGTTTAATTAAATGTTTAGTTTAAAACATTTAATTGTTTACACATTATGTGTGACTAAATTGCATGTTCAATTAAATTACATAATTACAATAAAAAGTACAACTAGCAAATAACAGGTTTAAGAACAAACGCAGCTAGGGCTGGCCAAGTGGCGTGTTGGTTAAGAGCTGACTTGGGACGCCAGAGAGCGCCAGTTCGGATCCCACATATGAGGGCGAGTGACACTGCCCTCTACAGCTAAGATGTTGTACAACAGCTCAACCTGGGCTGCCATGGGTCGCCAGCGACGCGTAGGCTGCAGTCCCCTGCTGCAGTGGGCTGCCATAAGCTACCATGTGTAGCCAGCAGCCAGCGTGAGCAGCCAGCAGCCGCCGTGAGTGGCCGTCCAGAGGCCGGCGACTGATCCGCATTGCCCGGGGAAGAGTGCAATGATGGTGCCAGCTTGGGCCAGTGAAGCAACATCCTCCACAACTAGACTGAAAAACAAAAAACAACAGCAACTTATCTGTTCCCCTTCCCCCGATTCCCCAATAAAATCTTTAAAAAAGAACACACACAGCTAACTGTTGGTAAGCACAGAACTCAGCTGGTGGGAGCTGAAGATTATCTTACTAGGAGCAAGGGTTTGTCAGGCTATGGGCATCGGTTAGAGTGTTCTATAGAAGGAATGGAAAGTGCCGGTTAGCATTCTGAGCAAGTGGATTTGATGTTGTGGAAGAGACCTTGTAGAGGTCCACAAAGCTGGGGTAGCCGCAGCACAAGAAAGAAGTGGAGAAGGAGCTCTTGGGGGGTTAAGCTAGCGATGTTATCATGATGATTTTCATCGTCATTACTTGGGATGTCTGGAAGAAACAGGAAGGAGCTCAGGTCTGTCTCCTGCCCTCCTGACCCAGCCACTGTTCTGAGCTGAAGCTCTTCTAAAAAGAGCACTGCGTGATAAACTATGGTACATCCACACAATGGAGTACTCAGCAATAAAATGGTACGAGCTATAGAAACACACAGCAACTTGGATGAATCGCAGGGGCATTATGCTGAATGAAATGAAGCTAGCCTTGCAAGGCTGCATACTGTATGATCATATATATGACAGTTTATCAAAGGCAAAACCATAGTGATGGCAGGAGTGACTACAATGGGGGGAGAGCATGAGGGAGTTTTCTGTGGTGACAACAGTTCTACATCCTGATTTTGGTGGTGGTTATTCACATCTATACATGTGTTAACACTCATCCAACTGTATACCAAAAACAACCAAATTTACTGTATGTTAATTTAAAAACTAAAACTTCAAGAAATAAAGAGCACTGTGGAGAGTGTCTCGGCGTGGAAGCTGGCCTGGCCTCAAGTGCTGCCTGACGGGCACTTGCCTTGGGACGAGGGCCTGTCCTCTTCCTGGGCCATCATCCCTCACTGGCTTTTCTCTTCCCTGTGTTAGATTGGAGCTGGAGGGAGCATCACTGGGCTGAAGTTTAACCCTCTCAATACCAACCAGTTTTTCGCCTCGTCCGTGGAGGGAACAACGAGGCTGCAAGACTTTCAAGGCAACACTCTCCAAGTTCTCACCAGCTACAATACCTGCAAGTGAGTAGTTTAACAAGTAGAGGAAGGGCTCTTAGGCTCTGTAGTTCTGGCAAGATCCCATTCCTTTTACCCAAACCTGGGGAGAAAGGAAGGGGTTAGCCACTTCCCACCCTGCCCTCTCTGTCTCATACTTCTTTAGCTGCTCTTACTCTGGAGCAGGAGGGTCACTGCTTAGGGGAGGGGTTCCGGAGCCTCAGCTTGTTTGTAAGTTGTTCCTGTGTTAGACGAGACCTTGGCTCTCACTAGACAAGTCAACATGGCGTTGGCCTAGAAAGCCACTTAAAGCCAGGAGCAGGAACTAAGAACTTAAGATTTCATTCCCTACATTCACTGGGGTGTAATGACCCAACCAGTTCCACGACGGAAGCTTAAATGGATAGAATCAAGGCCATAAAGCACGTTGGACACCCCAAGAGCAAGTGGCTGCAGAAACTAAAAAGTGCTTCTCACTTTGATTTCTAGCCAGAGATATGACCCTGCTCCCTAAGAAATTGAGGGTGTTGGGGGGCGGGGTCTAACTAGCACTGGATGTTATCCTGGGCTGCCCCACAGGGGTGTGAATCCATAAGCAATCAGGACAGGTGACGGGACAGACTGAGCTCGAGGTTTCTCTTCCACAGGAAACCCTCCCTCTGAAAGATACTTATAGAGGATGCAAAAGGCAGTGTAGCAAGGATTTGAGAGAAAAACCAAACCAAACCATGTGAATCTGAGCTCTCTTGGCTGGGTATTGGGATCCCTGAAGCAACCCTTTCCACATTCCTTTCTTCCTCAAGGAATCTGAGGGACAAACAGCAGGACAGCTGCTGGGCTGTGTGTGTTCTTTTCCCTAAATGCTCAGAAGGGGGCAGAAGTTCCTATCTAGCCAGCTCTGAGGAACAGAGCTGGGAAGTCCCTGTTTGACTTGTCATCTCGTTTGGCCCAACGGGTGGAGTGTGAAGGGAGAAGGCCAAAATGGAGTCCTCCTCAGAATCCTTTTTGAGGAAGGGCAAGCGAGCCTGGGGATGTGCCTTAGGGCTCTGAGGTTTGACTGCTTCAGGGACTTGTACTTGCTGAGGATCCCGGGCCCTGCAGTAACTGGACAAATTTCTGAGCCCCATCACCCCCATACCCTCTGTCTGGATGGCAGCAGACAAGTCTAAGTATTCTTTACTGGGAGTCTATGGCAAGACAGTTATTCATTCAACAAATATTTATTGAATGCCAACTATGCATTAGACACTGAAGCTACAACAATGAATAAATGGACCTTGCCTCTGTCCCCAAGGATCTTAACAGCAGTCTCTCCTTCCAGCTTCTGGTTTTGCAGCCTGGATGTGTCTGCCAAAAGCCGAGTGGTGGTCACAGGGGACAATGTGGGGCACGTGATCCTGCTGAACATGGACGGCAAGGAGGTACGTTGTCGGGAGCCCGGGTCCTCCCTCTCCATCCCTTACCCCCAGCCTCAGTTCTCTGCCCCCACCTGAACCAAGATCTTCTCTGCAGCTTTGGAATCTGAGAATGCACAAAAAGAAAGTGACCCATGTGGCCCTAAATCCATGCTGTGATTGGCTCCTGGCCACAGCCTCCGTCGATCAAACAGTGAAAATCTGGGACCTGCGCCAGGTGAAAGGGAAATCCAGCTTCCTCTACTCACTGCCGCACAAGCACCCTGTCAATGCAGGTGTGATATGCCAGACCTTATCCTCCCTGCAGACCCTACCTGCCCCACCACTCCCGGGGTTTCCCTCAACGTGTAGACGCCGCTAGATCAAACCTTGATCCCCGACAGCATTGGCCAAGCTGATGTCTTAGAACCTTTCTGACTCTGGTTGCCCCCATCAGCTGCTGAGTTTCTAGGATGTTGCTGTTCACAGCCCGGAGTCACCTCCCTTCCACCCCTGTCTAGAGAGGAGTGGGAGTGAGGTTGCCCCTGCCAGAGAAGGCCTGTGAAGGCCAGGACAACAGGAGGCCCGTGGTTCCTTCAGCTCAGGGGCTTTTCACTTGCCAGCTCATTTCAGTCCTGATGGAGCCCAGCTGCTGACCACTGACCAGAAGAGTGAGATCCGGGTTTACTCTGCCTCCCAGTGGGACTGCCCCCCGAGCCTGATCCCACACCCTCACCGCCACTTCCAGCACTTGACGCCCATCAAGGTAAGTGATGGAGTACAGAGCTGTGATCACAGGGACAGATGGGGTCTGCCCAAGGTGGAGAGGGCAGGTAACGGAAGCCTTTAATCCCAGATCTTTTCCTGCCCTGACATAAAGCAGCAGCATCCCCTGGCCCTCTGCTCCTTTTGCTCCATGTTTGCAATCCCGTTTTGCTGGCTCTTGTTTCTCTGGTAACCCATTTTCCTGGGTTTTTTAGCCCTGATCTCCTCACTGTGGGCATTTTCCAAGATCCTGACAGTCAGTTTCAGTTGATCCATAAGCTAACGTTAGCCTTCTTCTTGTTAGCACCTCTCTAGCCTCAGTCCCCAAGGCTTACAATCTTCAAATGCTGTGATTCCTTCCTACCCAAGCCCCTAGGCAGTGGGAACTGTGCCAGTTCTGCTCTACTAGTTTATATTCTTTTCTAGAACCACAGCCCCTCTTCCAATCTCCGGCTTCATGCCTGGACTTCATTGGTCAGTATAGCACAGTGGTGAGAGGCACCAGCTTCAGGCAGACAGACCCCACCCCCTGGTGAGAACCTTGGGCAAATCACTGAAATTGTGGGTCTCAGTTTCCTCATCTATAAAAAGGGAATAATAGTGCCTGACAGGGTTGTTGTGAGGCGGAATCGGTGCTTAAAGCCCACGGCACCATTCCTAGTGCCTGGTAAATACTTATTAAATGGTGATGACTCAGTATTAGTGGCTCCCACGTACCTCCAATCAAATCCAAGCTCTTAATGACATCAAGATCCCTCACCAGTTGACATTCCCGTTGATCCATCTGTTCTCATCTCGCACTTCGTATCCAGCCAAGCCAACTTACAGCTTCCCAGGTGTGACTTGTTTGTGACTTACAATTTTCCCTACTTTAAAACTTCCTTGAGAAGTTTCTTAGGGAAATCCCATTCAATCTTCCATTCCAATAACTGGCAGATTTGTTTTGAGTAGAGTAGTCTTGGGAACATTAAGTTTCCTCTCCTTCCCAGCCACTAGCCATTTTTTCAACATTCACATTGATGGAGGAGATAACAGTGGGTAACTTGAGAACTTAAGTCCGATTTGGTTTTGGTTACCAGAGGCTTTTTGCTTTGTGGTAGACTACCTCTTTGGTTAATGTCTGGGTCAGGCTGATGCTGAAATATCAGTTGGTATAATCTCAAGAAATGCAAGAGAGAGAGAGAGAGAGAAGGACTGAAGGTGTCCCAAGGGCCACAGAGGCCAGCTGGGGATTTAAAATTTGCAGTGGTAGATGTACACACAATTGAAAACCATTCTTTTAGTTTCGTGTAGATCTTATCTCCATTATTAAATTGCTGGCAACTGTATTAACGATTGTTAGTGGCAAAGAGTACTTTTGAGGTCCTTCTTGATAGTGTTCTGCATTTACGCTTGTGACCAGCCTTTCCATCTCCTAGGCAGCCTGGCACCCTCGGTACAACCTCATTGTTGTGGGCAGATACCCAGATCCTAATTTCAAAAGCTGTAACCCCTATGAATTAAGGACAATCGATGTGTTTGATGGAAGCTCAGGGAAGTTGATGCATCAGCTCTATGACCCAGAATCTTCTGGTATCATTTCGGTGAGGCTTGGGCCCTCTTTGATGGGAGGAAACAAGGATTCACCCTATTTTACTGATCAAAAATGACCAGAAATTAATCCTCATGTGCCCTTTTCCCAACACCTTCACCCCTTCCTCATGCTTATCCTCTTATCTCTGCAGCTCAATGAGTTCAATCCTATGGGGGACACGCTGGCCTCTGTGATGGGTGAGTGAATTAGGTTGTCTCTTAGACTGACTAAGCCCGATCCTACACCCCAAGGTTCAGTGCAGGCTAACCTCAGCTTAGCCCTGCCATAGTCACCCCCGGGGAGCAGTCAGTAAAGATCACCAGGAGACAGTGAGTGGTCCCTTTGGCCTAGGCCCTCCACCCCTCTTGCCTCGTCTTGGTCATGGCAATGCCTGGCTTCCCGGTATTTCCTTCTAAATTCTAGGTTCCCTGGGCCAGCCTCAAGCTCTGAGACTGATCATGGAAGGTGACTCGGCCTGGTCTCACTCCTCCTAGGTTATCACATTCTCATTTGGAGCCAGGAGGAAGCTGTAATGCGGAAATGAGAGACATGAATGAAGGTGTGGGCCAAGCAAGGGCTCGGAGCCACATGAGGACAAGTCCTGTGAGAAGAGGCGGCTGTGTGTTAAAGGGTCAAAGGTATCCAAGTCTTAGGGCTGGAGCAGGGATGCTGTGGCATGGGATACTGTGGGGCTGGGACGTTGGTATGTATTGCTCTGGACTTAGCTCCAGAAAGTTCCCCAGAGTTGGCGACTCAGCTGCTCCAAGGGTCCCTGCTGTATCTAGCTTGGAGCCAAGCTTTTCTCGGAGCCAAGGTACTTTTCTCCTCTCTGACGTGTGGTGGCAGTGTGATCAGGTGGTGGTTTTTGATTTGTACTCACTATGGACATGGCCAATAAAACCATATCCAACGGAGCTTCTGAGTTGATCTTTAGGATTGACCTGGTTGAAAGGCTCGTTGGGTCCCCAAAATGAAGAAAAGGCACAGAAACAGCGTGAGAGTCTAAAACTTTCATTTTTCAAGCTGCCTCAGCCCTATCCTGGGCCAAAGTCAACAAATGTCCAGTTCACAACCTGCATTTACTTCATGTCCCTGGAGACCCCAGCCCAGCTGAGGGGGATAGTAATTTCACGACGGTACCACAGTTCACTCTCCTACCTCCCCCCACTCCCTCCCAAGTACAAACACCCTTCCGACCTCCTGAGGCTGCAGGGGTGACCAAGATACCTGAGGCATCACGTCTGACTCTAATGGTGACTTCGGCTAGACAAAGGAAAACTTGACTGGCTGGCTGTTGGGTGATCCGGTTCCTTGGTGGCCAATGTTCGTACACCCAATACGGTGCAATTTTTCCCACTAAAATAAGCACTGAGAGGCAAGACTGTGTCCTCGTGAGTCATTTGCCAAAGACTCCGGGCTGGAAGAGAGAGAGCAGGGCTTCATGGGGGGCAGAGGAGGCAGATCAAGCTCTGACTCCTTCAGTTTCCTTTATCCAAGGTCCCGAGTGAATACTTGCCTACGTTTCAGGTCCTTAGGGAGCATGGAGGAGGCAAATACTGTTTGGAGACAGCCAGCGTCCAACACTGGTAAACAGTACTTGGTAAATATCAGGCACATGAATACTGAGTGACAGGTGCCATGGGCCAAGCCGAGCCCCACTTATTCATCTCGGCTGGGATAATCAGAGGGAGGCCCAACCCAGGGTCTCCTGTCCGTGGGCTGGGGAGCAGCAACAGTTGGGAGTAAGGGCCAAGCCCACCTCCCCTAGGAGGCAGAGGGAAGGGGGCTGAGTGGTTGTCAGGCGTGATCCTCCCCATCGGCAACATGGCGGTAGCCAGGAGGCTGGGCCTGCATCCGGAAGAGGACGGTGAGCAGCAGCACTATGAGAAGGAAGAGGATGGAGCCACACACAGCCAAGGCCACGATCACCTCTGGGCACGGAGACGGGGAGAAAACGGGCATGTCAGCATTCATTCAACAAATATTTGAGTGCCTGCCATATGCCAGGTGCTGTTCTTACAATGGGGATATCCACAGTTAGTGACAAATGCCATAAAGCAAAGCAAAATAAGGGGGAAAGGACGGAGAGGTCAGAGAAGGCATCACTGAGGATAATGTGAATAAAGATCTGGTGTCACTTTGTGAGACATACAAAGATCTGAGAGTGTCCTGAGGCAAGGGTGGGAGTGGGGAGTAGACAGGAAGTAAGTGCAAAAGGCCCTGATATGGGAATAGCTTGGCATTGTTCTAGGATCATCAAGAAAGTATCGCTAGAGCAAACTCAGTGAGGGCAAGTAGGAGAGGAGAGCGGAGGACCAGGCTAAGTGGGGCCTGGAAGGTCATGGTAGAGAACTTTGGATCTTATTCCAAATGTGATGGCAGGCCACTGGAAGATCCTGAGAAGGGCAGTAATGTGAACTGATTTATGTTTTTAAGACATTCTCTCTGCTGTGCTGAGAAACTGGTAGGGACAAGAAAAGAATCAGAACATAAGGAAGCTTATCAGTAGTTCAGGCAAGAGATGATGGTACAGTGGGCTAGGGAGTGAGAGCCTGTATGTTTTTTTTATTTTATTATTTTTTTAGCTGAGCCATCCTGCCACCTGTTGGCAGCTCAGCGGCTGCTCAGCTCGGGCTGGACTCGAACCGCTGTTACTCAGAGCTCACACTCTTGAGCGAGCTCTTAACCAACTGAGCCACTCGGCCTGCCCGAGAGCCTGTATTTTAAAGGTTGAGATGATAGGATCTGCTAGTGGATTGGCTGGGGGGAGTCTAAGGAGTGTTCAAGGTAACATCTAGGATTAAACTATGCAACTAGGTGACTAATATGGCATTTACTAAGATGGGGAAGCCTGGAGGAAGAGGTTTGGAGGGGTAGAGTGTTTGGTTTCAGACATCAACATCTAGATGTCACATCCATGTAGAGACCTCAAGTCAGCAGCTGGCTGGATATGTTAGTTGAGCTCAGAGAAGAGGTCATGAATCTGCGAGTCATAAAAAGACAGAACTTAGCGTGGAAATAAAACCAAAAGGCTGGATGAGATCACCGTGGGAGTGGTCTCAGGCACAGAGAGCCAGGATGAGCCCTGGGCCATCCACTGTTTAGTGGGGAGGAGAAGCCAGTAAGGAAGCTGCCTGTAAGTTAGGAGAAAAATCAGAAGCCAAGAGTGTTTAAGGAAGAAGTGATCTATTTTATGTAATGCTGCCGAGAGGTGAGAGAAGCTGACTAAGAATTGGTCACTGGCTTTGGTAAGAGGAGTCACTGGTCCTTAACAGAAGTGGTTTCGATGGAGTGGAAGGTGACATAAGACTGTCTAGTGTGAGCCTGAGAGAATGGGGCAGTGAGGAAGTGAAACCAGAGTCTAAGTAACGCATTAAAGGGTTGTGCTCTAACAGGGAACAGACACGGAGTGGTACCTGGAGGAAGATGGGGCTCTGAGAGGTTTTTGTTGGGCTTTTGAGATGAGACTGATCCAGGAGAGAGGAAACCCTGAGACATCAGAGGTCCTTGTGGAGGTTAGAAGAGATGGGCCCAGAGTATAAGTGGAGAGATTGGCCTTAGGTAACAGCTTGTACCAGCCATAAGCCGGAAAATCTGGTGGTGGGAGAATGGGACATTATCTCCGGGTGGTTTTTATTTTCCCAATGATATGAGATGTGAGGGCAGCCCCTGGGTGTGAGGAGTAAGGAGATGGTGGAAAATGGTCTCAGGGTAAGGAAGTGTACTGGCTAGGGAAACACCGTATTTCCCCATGTATAACACGCACCCTTTTTCGAAAAATCTGTGGTTGTATGAGCGCAAAAACAAGCATGAAAAAAGCGGGAAATGCAAGTAAATAAAAAAAATCTAGGGCCGGCCGAGTGGTGTGTTGGTTAAGAGCTGGCTTGGGATGCCAGAGGACCCCGGTTCGGATCCCACATATGAGGGCCAGTGACACTGCCCTCCACAGCTAAGATGCTGAACAACAGCTCAACCTGAAGCTGGGCTGTTGTGCATCGCCGGCGATGGCGTAGGCTGCAGCCCCTGCTGCAGTGGGTTGCCATGGGCTACCGTGTGTAGCCAGCAGCCAGTGTGAGTGGCCAGCAACCGCTGTGAGCGGCCGTCCAGAAGCTGGCGACTGATCTGCCTCGCCCGGGAAGAGCGCAATGATGGTGCCAACTTGGGTCAGTGAAGCAACATCCTCCACAACTAGACTGAAGAACAAAAGAACAGCAACTTGTCTGTTCCCCTTCCCCCAATTCCCCAGCGCTGTTCCCATCCCCCAATTCCCCAATAAAAATCTTAAAAAAACAAAAAAACAAAAAAAAACCCTACAACCACTGTATAAGATGCACCCAGTTTTTAGACCCCAAATTTTTTGAAAAAGTGTGCGTCTTAAACATGGGGAAATATGGTACAATAAGATGGCTGGACGCGTGCCAGTTCTCTCAAGACTTATGGATATAAATTTCAAGTTGTTCTGGGACTAGCTCAGAGGCAGGCAGCAGCTCACCTGTGTCTGCAGGACCACTTGCCAGCTGACATTCCTGTTGCCAATCCTTGGGCACGACAGGCTCTGTGAGGTGAAGGAAGTCCTGCAGTGGGCAGCGGTGAGGGCAGCCAGGCAGGCTCAGCGGCCAGGGGGCTTTGTTACTCTCATTGCGAAAGTACATCTCCACTGAGAAATTCCTGAGAGTTGACAGGAGACAAGATGGAAGGTGCTCACCAGGCCTGCAGTGGAGTCCTTGGGCTGCTGCCCACAGCCACCACGCGAGTGCTCCTCCAGAGGGCACACTAGTAGCTCCACTCACCCACTATCTTCCTGGTACAGTTCAAATATGTGGCAGGAGGCGTAGGGGGCTTGTTCACCATTGTAGACATTCAACGCCATTTGCAGAGCAACCAGGGTAGTGTCGTGCTGTAAGGGAGATCTCCCCATTAGCACTGCTCCCCCACACCCCCCAGGCACTAAATAGAGAAGAAATCCAGCTCCCTGCTTAACGTTAGCATGCTGGGGACTATGGGAGCTTACCGCAGAGTAAACCAGTAGCTTAGGGAGTTGGGAGGAGGTTGCCATTAGAGTCAGGTTCTTCCGTATCTGAGCCAGCAGGACTCCTGAAGGAGAAAAGTCCCCAGTGTCTGGTGCCAGCCACCATTGTCTTCTGTTCAGACCTATCTGTGGCCCTCTCACTCTCTGCTAGTCCTGGGTCTGATCACCAACACAGAGAACGCTAGGTGCATGGGAACCCACCCTGCTCTCTTAACTTTAACATTGACAGAGGGAAGCAAGATAAAACTAAGTGTCAACACTTCAACACGGATATAGTAACCTGCCCATTTATAAATGAGCTATGAGGCCCTGCCCGTGTTTGAAGAATTCCTCCAATTTGGAAAAATGGAAACTTGAAACTGCTTCAGAACACACAAGGTGGCAGCTCCAGGCAGGCCAGGGGAACTCTGCCACAGGCAAGCCCTGAAAGCCACTGAGATGTCAGAAAGGTGTGACAGCCGTCACTTCCTTGGGTGCTCAGATCAGGAAACTGGCATGTGTATTATTCTTAGCCTTCTTTCAAAGTGCCCTCCAGTGGTTCTCTTGAGGTAGGTCTTCATTTAAGGGGGAAAGGTCTGACATGGGTGACACTTAAGAACGTGAATGGCGGAAAAGCATGCAAACCTGACTGGTCATTCTGACAGTGACAAACGTGCTAAGCATTTGGAGGATTGGGGAGACTTTGGTGACTAACGTGATGACTAGAGGGATCTGGTTTTGAAAGAGCAGAGACTATTTCAGGTGGAGAAGTAAATGTATGAGAAGCCCCCCATAGCAGATTTTTCATGCTGTAGGGTCCTGAGGAGGGGAGTGACATGCTGCTCTTGTCACTCACCCCCCTGAAGCCGGGCCTTCTCTGCCTGCTCGTAGATTCCGAA